ATATTAAGGTACTTAAAACACTACTGTTAATTTTGTTGACATAAAAAAAACCAATAGGACATTTAAACTGTCTAGTTAAGCTAACTATCATTAATACTAAAGCTTCAGTTGCTAATTCAGAATTTTCACCAGTACCAAAATCAACATTTCCTGCATATCTACCTTTATCTGGTTCCCAAACTAGTTGCTTTCTTAAAGACATTGAATCATGAACAAGTGAACAATCTTGAAGCCAAGAATTTTTAGAAACTTCTTGTTTCAAAAACAAAAATACTTCTTCCAAGAAGCCAGGTTCACATTCTGTACTACTTAACCATTTTCTAATAGTTGAAGGATGCGGTAGCGTGAACATTTTGCGTACATATTTATAAGCTTTAGGTGAATAAAAAAAAAGGGTTTTAGCAAAGTCTTTCATAGCATTTGGATAGCGAACACCCTTCTTATGAAGCATTTTAGACTTATGTTCATGCAATAATAACGTTAATGGAAACCCACCAAAATTTTCTTCCAGCATTTGAGTTACTTCATCAGAATATGTAACATTTTTTTTTATTCTTAGAATCAAATCTAAAAAAAAATCTTGATTAAAAAATCTAAAATATATAGTTATACATGTATATAGTTAAAATTACCTTTTAATGATTTAATTTTACTATTTCTTCTTTTCAATCGTTGTTGTAATATCTTAATCTTGTTTTGGTACAATTTTTTATTAAAAGTTTTAATATTACACTGTACCATTTTATCTTCCTTTTGGTGAGATGTTTCACTCTGGTAAAACTACAAACATTAGATATTAAACAACAGATAATTATTCATTACCATTTACCAGATAAGAGCTTATTATTATGAGTATTAACTTAAAATCCAAATAAATTATAAATTAAACAATTTGATAATACCATGGTATTAGTGGATGAATCTTCGCCAGCTTCATTAACTATTTCTGCATGAATCATATTATTTTGATCATTGGCCTATAATAAATTTAATAAATTAGTATACATTATTAATTATTATACTTAAGTAGGTATTTGAGTACACATAATAAAATAAAAATAAAAACGCTGCTTTTAAGCAATTGAAAAAAATATATATTTAAGTAGGTAGTAAATAATATATTATTATAGGTAGGTACACTAAAATATATTATGTAGTATGTAAATTAATTGGAAAATTAGTAGCTGTAAAAATAATACAGTACATAACATAATACTAGTATCTATAATATTATAATATATTATAAATTGTATGTATGGTGTAGGTAGATATTTTTAAACTACCTACAATTAAATTTTTAAAAATAGACTAACCTTTTGACGATTTTGAAGTAGTGGACGACTAGCTTTTTGTTTTTTTTGTAAATGCTGAGGAAATTTAAAGACTGATGGAACTGCTTCATCTTTTAGCAACTTCTTATCTAACTCTGGACGAGATTCATTTAAATAATCACTAGGTGTGAAATGTTCACTGCATAAATAGCTGTACTGGTTGGGTGTAAAATTTTTTCGTCGTATTTCATGTAACCATTTTTTTAAAACGTCTGGTCTTTTTAGAGGAAATCTAGAATTATAAAGTGTGTTCATTGAAAATTATGAGACGAGATTTTGATTTTTGATAGAAATATTCAAATATGTATTACACTTACCGATGGAAATGTATCCCGTTTTCTTTCTGTCGCCTATTTGTACACCCATACCCAGGGGCGGATCCAGAGTTAGGAAACTGTGGGTCAGGAAATTTCAAGGGGCCACTTATTAAAACCAAATTAGAAATCTATACTTGTGTACTAGGTATATAAAACAAAAAAAAGGTGCTCCGATGTACAGTAGGTTACAAGTGTATAATGGATAGTATGAAATTTGAATTCAATGATATAATATCATTGTATAAGAAAAACGATTCTGAGCGGAGACGGTATGTCAGTCTAGGTATAAGCCATATTATTTTCTTATCTATCGTATTAAAAAAAATGTACCTATAATAAATTCCAAATTAATCATATCCCAATATACATTAGGTACTTATAATGCATTATACGTCAACAACAAACCCTGATACTATCATAGTCCATACTCCATAGGTATATAATAGTGTACTTTAGATGTTTCAAGTACCCATGAATAATATTACACAATCACAAAAAAATAACTAAAATAGTTATTCTAGGTTTTTTTTTTATGTAATTTTATCCAAAGTTGAACTTAAAATGACTATAAAAATAAACTGTGCTTATGTATTTTTTAGATTTTTTGGTAACAGAATTAACTACAATGGTGAAATCATGTTTTAAATTTTCAATCCTTAGATATAAAAGTTGAACATTTTATACATTTTTAACTACAAAATAATTATTCAATTTTAAATTTGATAAATTTTGTCAAAATTCGATCTTTAAATGCTTATAAAAAAAATTGTGCAGCCTATGTATTTTTAATATTTTCAACTGATATTGTAACAATATATCAGGAGCCTTATATTAAATTTTTACACTTTTTGGCATAACAGATAAAACTTTATTGATATTTATAGAAAAAAAAAACTAAAAAAATTGAAAACTGAAAAGCTCAAAAAGAGTCAAAATATTTTTGCTGTATACCTAACCTGCTGTACATTAGGTTACAACTTACAAGTGGGGGTCGCTGTAATGGATGGTATTAAATTTGAATTTATAATTATATATAATATCATTGTATAGGAAATGCTAATATGAACATTCAGTGAAATTTTCATTTATCTACAGTTATTTGTTTTTGAATTACAACAAAATAAGGAAATCGCTACATGAGAAATCGAGTGAATATCCAATGTTGTAAAAATTTGAATTTCAAACGCTCATAAAAATTTAATTTAACTTTCCGGTAGAGATTTTTTTATTGTTAAAGGTAGACAAACTTATGAGTAATCTTGTATTAAATTTTCAAATCTTAGATTTAAAAAGAAAAACTTTTACGAATTCTTAACTCGAAATAATTTTCTATATTTCGTGATTTTTCCATATTTTGTAAAGTTTTGAACTTTAAATGCTTATAAAAGAAAATTGTGACTAACTATTTTTAATATTTTTCATCTGCCTTTAAACAATATACTAGGAGCCTTATAATACATTTTCAAGCTTTCTAAGCTAACAAATAAAATTTTATTGATATTTTTAGAATAAAAACTAAAAAAAAAATGGAAAATGAAAATGTCCTTAAACAGTTCAAAACAAATCATAATATTTTAAAAATTTTATCGTGTATAGAAAATGCAAATATAGTGAAAATTCAGTGAAAATTTCATGTATTTACGTTCATTTGTTTTAGAGTTACACCAAAAACCAAAATCGATTTTTTGGAAAACAGATTTTGAGTAAAAATTTCCGTTATTCCTTATTTTTTATGTGTTTAATCCCGGCGCTTGTGAAAACTATTGGGAATTTTAAAATTTTACCTCCCGAATGCACCAAATAGATTCACTTTCCAATCGAACAAGATACTGAAGTTGAAAATCGAAGCATTATTTCGACTACCTATCGTGTACACAGGCACAAAAATAAATAAAAAAAATTTTAAAAAAAACACACATTGTAAAATCAATACATTCATCGTTCCACTCAGAATCTAAAATTCATTTATACTATATGTGTGTTTATTTAAGTGTCCAACTACTCAAGATCTGAAAAGAGGCCAATTTGATCAGAAAATATTAACTGTGGGTCAGCTGACCTCCTGAACCCTCCCCTAGATCCGCCCCTGCCCATACCCTGAACATGATACAACCATATTATTATTTATAATAATTAGGTACCTATGAGTTTTAATTTTTAACTTGAACGAAATTCCGATGCCGAATTGCCAAATCGTAATAATTATATTATATTAATTAATAATTAATATTAATTCGCTATAAAAAGGTTAGGTTAGAATGTAAACTGATATTTTCTTGCCCTGCAGTGGTGGGGGAAGCGTTTAAAAATTTGGCTCGTTTTCAGTATCAGTGTACGCGCTCCAGTATTGTTTATCTATCTCGATGTTTATTATAGATTAGGTACTTATTAGACGAGCGTCTCATTGCAGCTTGGCAAATTGGCTGCTGCGCGCGCAGCTCCCCTTATCATACCATTATCACCGTTACTTTCAAATATGATAATCCGTATAAGCGCGCGTGAATTTGAAATTAAAAATATTTTCAATTTATGATGGCAGTTGTTCTAATGTTAATATTTTTAGTTTCAGAAATAGATCATTAGTAAAATAATAATTGTTCATAATAGTATTCATAGTTCAAATTTGTATGATTATTATGTTGTATTATTTTGTTGTAATTCAAAAACATAATCATTCGTGGTGACTTATAAAATTAAAAATAATTAGATTAATTTTAAAATTTAAGCTATTACTTCTATAGTCCTTATTATATTTTAAAAATAACAATAATAATATTGCGGCACATTCTATGCGTTATAATTAATGGTTCTAATATAATTTTATAAATTGAATCCCATACAATTGTATCTATGGACTAGTAGTATCTAGAAAATTCCCATATTATAATTTATAAGTAGTATTATACATTGTTTAACAATGTATATTATTATTTTTAGTTTAATCAATATTAGGAAATATTCCTAGTTACTTGTGTCTACATATTTAGATATATGATGTTTTATTCAAGTCCAGATACTATATACAAAATATTTGAAAATTTAAAATAATACATAATAACAAGAAATTTCCAAGTCATAAACCTTCTAAAAATAAGTTAATAATCTCAGACCAATGTTTCTGACACTATCATTTTTCATAATCTTCATTCTTCATTTTTCAAATTTAAAATAATACATAATAACAAGAAATTTCCAAGTCATAAACCTTCTAAAAATAAGTTAATAATCTCAGACCAATGTTTCTGACACTATCATTTTTCATAATCTTCATTCTTCATACTGTGTTTATACTTATTGTGATTTTCATTAAGCTAGTATTTTATTTTTGTTTGTATCTTGGCATCTGAGCATCATGTCATCTAGTGCACCTGAAATTAAATGTTCAATTTGTGATACAAAGTTTACACAAAAAAAAATCTTTATGCTCATTTAAGGAATATACACGGTAGTGATTCTTTAGATGTAAATAATTTTATTTGTACAGTTTGTGAGAAAACATTTAAAGTTCAGAAAACTTTAGATACCCATATAAAAAAATATCATAAAAATGGCGATAAAAATAGAGAAACAAGAATAATTTGTCCTTATGATGAGTGTAACGAACCTTTGTTTAAATTTTCAAAATTAAGGATTCACCTGTTTGAAAAACATAACATTACTATAGAAGTAAAAGAACTAAGTTTTTCGACCATTGCAGGTAATATTATTTTTTGAAAAAATCAAATTAAATGTAGGAGTTATTGACTGTAAAGTTTTTATGACAGACGATGCTCCTGCATTTTATAATGCTTGGATTGCTATAATGGGACCGGTTGAACATAGACTTCTGTGTACTTGGCACGTCGATAAAAACTGGAGACAAAATTTATCTAAAATCAGTGGTGGATCAGAAAAAAAATCAATTGTTTATAAGACACTGCGCATATTATTACAGACCACATCCATTGAAGAATTTAAAAACAATCTCCAAAATGTCATAAAAGATTTAAAACAAGACAAAGACACCTATACATTTGGGGTTTATTTCGAAAAATATTACTCAAAACGACCAGAATGTTGGGCTTATTGTTATCGACTAAGACTTGGGATTAATACAAATATGTACTTGGAATCATTTCATAAAGTATTAAAACACATATATTTGGAAGGAAAGAGAGTAAAACGTTTGGACAAAACAATTAATGCTCTGATTAAATATTCCAGAGATAGTCTATACAAACGTTTGATTAAGTTGTCAAAAAATATCCCTACTGAAAAAGTCCAAAGAGTACGTCAGAGTCATAACTCAAGTAAATTAATTAAACTAGAACAAATACAAATTGTGGAAAACAAAAAAGTATATATTATCAGATCATTATCCAATCCCTCACAGCAGCACTATATTATAAAAACTGATGAAACATGTACACAGTCATCATGTTTGAAATGCAAAAAGTGTGATATTTGCATTCACACTTTTCAATGCTCTTGTATTGATAATGTTATAAAAGCAAATATTTGTAAACACATACATGCTTGTGCTCGCGAGTTTATAAGTTTAGATGGCAATACTGAAAATACTGTTTTTCAAGACTCAGATATGACAGAGCAAAAAAAGTTAATGGATATGGTTGCAACTTCTAGTCACCATAAAGCTCACAAAAATCAAACAATCATAAGCCAAACACAAATGATTTTGGGTCTGAGTTCAACAAATGAATATAGTAATGAAAACTTACAAAAAATTGAAAAAAAGTTGGCAGAAGTTTTAGCAATCATGAATGAAGGAGGACAAACTCACTTAAAAACAGTTGAAGAAGTCAATGTTCAAAGGAAAATAGATCCACAGCTTCGGCTTTATTCAACAAAAAAGAAATCCAGCAAAACATCAATAGCAAAGCCTTCTGTAAATGAAGTAAATGCAATTATTTCTGGACTTAAAGATGACAATAATGAGACTATAAATGTTCATAATGTATTTGATCATTCATATTCTTAAAAGTACTAAACAATATTACTTAAAAACTTACCAATTATTACTTTGTTATTAATATTTTTTTGGTAGGGTCCTAACGAAAGTACAACTATAGGTATCATGGTTAGCTATTCAATTTATACTATTCAACAAGGTTTTAATTGTGCTTCATGCTAAAATATTGTTTTGTATGCACATAGTCTTTGCTATCAGGAATACTAATACTTTAAAAAACAAATGTATTACCTCAAAACCGTATTATTACATTTTTTATTTTTAAATTTAATTAATAATTAGAGTAAATACCCATACATTTCAATATGCATAGTATGTGAAAGATGTACTATAGATAAATACCTAATTCAAATAATATAATAGAAATCTTTACTTGCTCATTTAACAAAAACTACTTTCTAAACTGAAATAATTTGACTAAAATATTACCTATTAAAGAACATACATTTGTCATAGTGTAATATTTGCATAATTTCTGAATAAAAAAATTGCAAAAATTCAGTTAACTAATTAGTATATTAATAACCTAAACTAAAATTTGTATATTAACTATGTTAATGTTATAAAATGTACTAGGTTTACTAAAGCAATATAAAAATAACTATAATAATAGTGTTTATTAGTTTATTATTCATATAGCATTTAATAGAATTGCAACTATACATTTATGAGTTTATAATATTTATTGACATATTAATATTTTTATAAATTAATCAATATTTCAAACTTAGTAGAAATTTGTACATTTTTAAATTTTAGATACCTATTACTATAAATTTGAATGTTTTTAATTTAGTTGTTTTTATATAAAGTTGTACCTTTTTACTACATTAGTTCATATTCATTTTGTTTGTTACTTGGATAAACAAATATTATATTTAAATATACAATAAATTATTAAACTATACAAATACTTACCAAAATTCTTAAGGTGTTCACTGTCTATTCATGTTTTGTAAATTATATCAGTTTATACCACAGATAAATACAATATTATATATATACAATATTTGAAAGTAACGGTGATAATGGTATGATAAGAGGAGCTGCGCGCGCAGCAGCCAATTTGCCAAGCTGCAATGAGACGCTCGTCTTATTAGTACTATAGAATAGGACATAGGTTACTTAATGACCACTGACGTTTTGTAAAATGTATATAAAAAAAATTACCTGAAACAAGTAAAATAATTTAAAACAAGATCGTGAGACAAATACATTTTAAGAAAAAAAAATTAAATACAGAGTACTGCACGATAAATGTGTCAAACTTCTAGACGTGTTTCTACACCTCAAATGGAACAAAAAAAGTCCTTATGACCCCTGCCTTAAAAAATAATTGATGTCAGAGAAACTGAATTTTTTTTTTAGATTTCGACATTTTAAAGTTATAAAAAAATGTTGTCATTCTTTTTACCCAAAAAATCAGGTGGGAACCTTGTAAAATATGTTTTCCTAATCTCAACTTTATGAGGTTTTCATCAATGTATTCAAATTAATTGTAGTACCTACGGTTTAATAGATATGAACATTATTATGAATACAACTTGCGTTTAACCATAAAAACACAAACATGGAAATTATCGCCCTTAGGTAGGTATTATTGATAATTCGATTATGGTCATAAGGACTTTTTTTGTTCCATTTCAGGTGTAGAAACACCTCTAAAAGTTTGACACATTTATCGTGCAAAACCCTGTATAAATATTTAGTAGCAGAGCTTTACTTAGGTTGTGTGTGGCTAGAGGGTCTGCAGCCGCAGGCCTCAACCTAATTAGGGACAATTGGACAAAACATTTTTTTATGCGTCTGAAGTTAGAATTTTGACAAAATTCGTCAAAATCAAGAAAATTTGCAAATTATTTATAGTCATACAATTATAAATGTTCAGTTTTTATAGGTAGGACGGTAGCGAAGAATTGAAAATTTAAAACAAGGTATCTCAAAAGTAGCTTAGGTATACTGTCACCAAAAAGTCTATAAAAATATACAAACACAGTTTATTCTTATTGCTATTTTAAGTTCAAATTTGGATGAAATGAGACATTTAAACGAAAATAACAATCTTAGTTCTTTTGTTGTAATTTAAAAATATTATTATAATATAAGCTGGCACGTTATGCCACAGTCATAGGCCATACTACCATAGCTACAGTTTGACAGGGCCAGAATCATTTTTCGTATACACTGATATTATATCATTAAATTCAAATTTAACACCATTCATTACAATAACACTGACCCAGGGGCGTCATTTGGGGTATTGCAGGGTATGCCTATGCATACCTAAAATTATCAAGATGAAATTTGGCCCGACTTTAATTTTTCTGCGCCGGGCAAAAATGATCCTTTTTAGATTCTGAGTGGAACGATGAATGTATTGATTTTACAATGATGTGTGTTTTTTTTATTTTTTTATTTATTTCTTTATTTTGTTTGTGTCTGTGTACACGATAAGTAGTCGAAATAATGCTTCGATTTTCAACTTCAGTATCTTGTTCGATTGGAAAGTGAATATCGTTGGTGCATTGGGGAGGTCAAAATTTAAATTTCCCAGTAGTTTTCAAAAGCGCAGGGAAAAACAAAAGAAAAATTAAGGAAAAACGGGAATATTTACGGAAAATCTGTTTTCGAGAAATTCGATTTTGGTTTTTCATGCAACTCTTAAACAAATGACCGTAGGTACATGATATTTTGACTGGATGTTTATATTAGCATTTTCTATACACGATAACATTTTCAAAATATTTTGATTTATTTTGAACTGTTTAGGGACATTTTCAGTTTCCAATTTTATTAGTTTTTTTTTTTTATAAATATCAATAAAAATTTATTTGTTGAGTAAAAATACTTGAAAATTTAATACAAGGCTCCTACTATATTGTTTCAAAGACAGATGAAAAATATTAAAAATCGATAGTCACAGTTTTTTTTTTAAGCATTTAAAGTTCAAAAAATTACAAAATATGGAAAAATCACGAAAATTTGCAAATTATTTCGAGTTAGAAATTCATAAAAATTTTTCTTTTTAAATCTAAGATATGAAAATGTAATACAAGATTCCTTATAAAATTTCCTACATTTATCAAAAAAAAATTCTATAAGAAAGTCTAATTAAATTTTTATGATCGTTTGAAATTCAAATTTTTACAACATTGGATAATCACTCGATTTCTCATGTAGCGATTTCCTTATTTTGTTGTAATTCAAAAACGAATTACTGTAGATACATGAAAATTGTATTGAATATTTATATTAGCATTTCCTATACACCATACAATTTTGAAAATATTTTGACTCTTTTTGAGCCGTTTACGGACATTTTCAGTTTTCAATTTTTTTAGTTTTTTTTTTCTATAAATATCAATAAAGTTTTATCTGTTGGGCCAAAAAGTGTAAAAAATTAATACATGGCTCCTGATATATTGTTACAATAGCAATTGAAAAATATTAAAAACACATAGGCACAATTTTTTTTTATAAGCATTTAAAGATCGAATTTTGACAAAATTTATCAAAATCTCGATATTTATCAATCATCGTAATTAATAAATTATAAAATGTTCAGTTTTTATAGCTAAGGATTGAAAATTTAAAAAAAAAGATTCTCATAAATAGTTCATACTGTAGCCAAAAAATCTAAAAAATATATGAACACAGTTATTTTTTACAGACATTTTAAATTCATATTTGGACAAATTTACATATTAAAAAACCTAAAAATAACTATTTTAGTTATTTTGTTGTGATTGTATAATATTATTCGTGGGTACTTGAAACTTCTAAAGTGTACTATTATATATCTATGATAGTATCAGGGTTTGTTGTTGATGTATAACGCGGTATAAGTACCTAATGGATATTGTGATATGACTAATTTAGAATTTATTATAGGTACCTAATTATAGGTCAATTTTTAGTTTAATATCATAGATATGTATATCATATGTCTTATACCTAGACTGACGTACCGTCTCCGCTCAGAATCGTTTTTCTTATAGGTACAATGATATTATATCGTTGAATTCAAATTGAATATCATCATTATACAGTGACCTACTTGTAACCTACTGTACAGCAGAGCGACATCCACTTGCTCACCTTTTTTTTTTTTATATATATAATTGGTCTCGAGTATCGGCATCTATCATTTATGGCTTATGCTATAAGCCCCTATAAGACCATACGCCGTAGTAGATAGTAGATAAATAACTTATGTGTGATTAAAGATTTCAGAATTTGTTTTGTTTTCCTTAGTGTTTATAAATATGAAATTATGATATTGAAAATAATATTATAATATTATTAATATTGGTATTATATGAAATTATTTGATTGAAGAAAAATCAAAGTTTCGAGCGGAGCGAGAAAAAAATTTTTTTTCTAATTATTATTGTGTATATACTATATAATAATATATATTGGCCTGTTGAAAATTTTTTTGGCCTGCCCTGATGTTAGCATACCTTTCAAAAAGTTGAAATGACGCCCCTGCACTGACCCACTTGTAACCTACTGTACAGCAGAGTGGATCTACAATTTCGAATTTGAGAGGAGCGAAAGAATCTATTGTAATTACAATCATGTGTATTTTCGAGATCAGCATCTTTTCGATATAAAAGTGAATCTTGATGGTAATTTTCAGAGGTAAAAATTGAAAATTCCTAGTAGTTTTAGACAGCATTAAGAAAAACAAAAAAGGGACATTTTTATGCGAAACCAAGTTTTGAAAAATTCTATTTTTTTTTTTTAGGTAATTCAAAAGCTAATAACCACCGGCCAGGGGCGCACCCAGGATTTTTTTTTGGGGAGGGCTAAAGTCACATAATTTTAATATTAATAGGTAGTATTTATTTTGAAATATGTACAGAAATCTTTAAGCTTTTTTACAATCTTTTACTAACAAATTTTTTTTATTTTTGTCCCGGTTTTAAGTGTCGCTGTAGTCTTGATGTTATACCTGTAAAACATAAATATTATTTATTTAATTATGAATAATATAATGATTATTT